ATATTGACTTCCTTCTCTTGCTATTTGTTTCCTGTACATATATAAAAAGCACTTTGCAGTTGACGGTTAACAAATTTTCATCTGTCCAATGGAGGGGTATATTTGGATGTAGAAAAGTATAATGCAAATGATGAAGCGCAAAGTACAATATTGTTATGCTTGCTTCCATAGTTGTTGACTATAGTACCCTTTCAAGTGGGATTGTTGCAAACTGTTGGGAAATTTGCATGTGCTGTGTCTAGGGGTAATTTGGGGCCAGGAAACGTACGATGAAAATGATTTAGCGACGAGTACAATGGTGTAATGCCTCCTCCAGCAGTGTTTCCCTATATTACCCTTGGCAGTGTTTCTCTATCCATTAAGTTTGTCATTAAATACAAATACATGAAAGAAGTTCGATTGATGAGAAACTAGGCGGAACAAAAGACATGCAATTCAATTTGAATAGAGAATGGGAAGAACTCAAATGATAATTTAGCTTTATTTAAGAGAGTTTTAATGCGTATTAGATGAAAAATCATTCATGCAACTCATTAAGATTGTAAATGTAGCACCTTTCCTCTTCTTTTGCAGTTCATGGAATTTTAGATGATGGAACGAAACTAATGTCAAGAGTGTAGTTATTAAAGTCACTAATTGATTTATCTTAAAGAGAGTTTTAGTCTGGATTAGGTGAAGAATCATTTCTATTCAGTTACCAGAATAATTGCAATGCCTTTGAGCTTCCTGGCAATAATGGAGGCTTTGGGTATTGATGCAGGTGTTTGTATTCCGTATCTTTTTAAAGGTGTTTGCCTAGGTTTCTTTATTCTTTGTGTCTTTTTTTTTTAACTTTTTTTGTATTCAACTGGTTCATTAGATACTGTAAAATTTCTACTGCAATTTTTCTCTTTAGCTATTATATGAATTTGAGAATTTCATTATGAAGGAGATAATACCTCTGAACATTAAAAATCTGATTTTTTTTCTAACTGTTCTTGAAAAATCTGATTTTCTTAGGTGTAGGTGGTTGAATTGTGAGGAAAAGTTATTTGTATACTGGAACTTTGACTTGAAGGTACGATTTAAATCTTCACTCACAATTGGCATGTACGAATTGTTGACTCTCATTTTGATATTAATTCTCATACTGGTGTAGGTTTGAATCTATATACTTAGCTTTAAATATCATTTGCACAAAAAGGCTTGAACCGTGTTGAGATTTAAGCTTTAGTAGATGAGTTTAGCAGAGACTATTTCACTATTTATTAAATGGTTGTTTCTCTATTCATTGTGCAGAATATCAATATCTCGTTTGCTGCATACAAGATGATTAATGAGATACATATGTTGTGATTTGCATATATGGCTTATATGCCTGTCCCTTAGTTATTGTTATTACTGGATTAGTGCAGTTGACAAAGTTAGCGATTTGCTTGTTTGGTTTCTCTCTATTTATTTGACCTTGCATTTGTTCATTGGAATTATTGTTGCTTAGAGATTGTTTAAACTCCAGGACCATCAGGTAGTTGTTTTAGTTATGATAGCAGATTTAAAAGTTACCTTAATTCCATCAAATTTTAGAATGGATAGATGTAACGATAAACTAAATGTTAAAAATTAACTTTGAAACGATAGAGGAAAAAAAGATATATGCATAATTATCTATTGAACAAAAAGAAAAAAATCCATGAGAAATAACGTCAAACTTATAATAAGAGAACCATTAGGTAGTTGTTTTAGTTATGATAGCAGATTTAAAAGTTATCTTAATTGCATCAAATTTTAGAATGGATAGATGTAACGATAAACTGAATGCTAAAAATTAACTTTTAAATGAGAGAGGAAAAAAAGATGTATGCATCATTATGTATTGAACAAAAAGAAAAAAATCCATGAGAAATAACGTCAAGCTTATGATAAGTATAAAAAGGTAAAAAAACCACTAGATCTGCTTTTCAAACCGTCATGAAAAATAATGGTAAGTATATCTCATGCCAGAGGTTTAGTTTAGAAAAATAGTCAATATCGATTAAATACCACCATCATATAATAGTACTATGCTATTTATAAAAGTATGGTGCCCTTTCTTTATAATTTTATTTTATTTTTTTATAAATTTACTCATTTCACCACACAGGTTACCACTCCCGTACTGAGCGCGGGCTTATCCCTTAGTATTTATTTATAGATTAATACAGTATTAATTATCTATTAGTTATAAATCAACAAAATTATTTCTTATTTAGGTTACTGATGTTACAGGCTAGACTGTAATTACTATTCGTCCAGAAGCTTAACGACCATTCTTTGGATTTGTTTGGATTGTGTTTTATTTGGAATATTTTTACTGTAGCACTTTTTGTGATGTGATGTGTGTGAGATAAAAAGGTAATTGGAAATATAAAAAGGTGTATTGAAAATTGTAATAACGATGTAAGCAGATAAAATTGGAGAAATAAAAGACAATCCAAACAAACCATTTGGTTAATTGCCGTGAAAAAAGAATCTTCCTAATTCAACATGACAACAACGTCAGTCTATTTGCAGCTTGGAACATGAAATGGAGTTTTCACACCATATTATTCTTATTTTTCAAATGATCAAGTCTACCAGTCAAAAAAGTTGTGTCTCTATTTAATAATCATCCTTATTAGGGTGACCAAATTATTTTGAAAATGTCTTTACACACCAAAACAAAACAAAAAACAAAAAACAAAAAACGCGCGCGCGCGCGCGCACACAATGGTTGTTGACCTATCTGCATGTCGTTTCTAATAAAAAATATTTTTGATTTTCTACGGAACCAGAGGAATGTTTACTTGGTTGGCATCCCATTCACTTATCATTCCAATTTGATGAAATCTCTATTTAAATTGTTAACATTCAAGTTCCGTTCCTCTTTTTCACACTTAGCGGTGACCTTAAAATAATTTGACCAAAATGAAAATGCCTCGTCCAACTCCAAAGATGTACAATATTTATTGGTGCCTAAATAGTACAAAACACTAACTGGGATTTATTCTACCCGTTCCAAATTCCGATGGATTTAGCATGTCTTGCCGCTCATCCTGGACTGTAAATTCCATTATTGACAGAAAGAAAGTGCTTTCCCCGCGATCTTACAGGTAGAGCTGTTAATCAAGTTGAGTATTTGGCTACCGAGCTCGACTTGAGTTCGTTAGGAAAACGAGTTTTAAAATGTGTTCAAATTCGATTCGTTAAATGTATATGTGGCTCGAGCTCGACTCGTTTATCACAAACTAGTCGAGTTTCACGAGCTCGAACTCGAGCTCGTGCAAATTATTCTTAATAAAAATCTATAATTTTTAATTTTTATAATTTTAATTTTTAAAATGACAAATATACCCTTCATTAACGAGTTCTAACGAACTATTCGAGTATCAAACGAGCCTTAACTAAATGAGCATGTTTCGAGATCGAACTTGACTCGTTAACCAAAATTAATGAACCGAACTCAAGCCTTAACGAGTCGAGCTCTAACGAACTTTCGAACTACTCGATCGACTTAACAGTTCTACTTACAGGTCTTATGCAGCTCTTTTTTTTTTTTTTTTTTTTTTCTTTTCCGGGCCATGCTTTCCTGCCAGAAATTTCCGTGACACCTCATAGGGCTGCGAATTCAATACTGTCTGCCAACCCGGTCAACTGTGCTCCGTACCTTTTCCCATTTGGAAACTTTTCTTAAATGTCCACCTCCTGGAACGTGACGAAATGGCCACGTATACGCAGGGGCAAACGGGGCCGCCTCGTGTGTATTGTCATTTTTCTACAATTTTTTTTAACATATTTTTTTAATTCTTTTTTTTTTTTATCTCCATGCATCAAAATTAATGCAGTATGTTTTTATATTAAAAGTTCAAAAAACTGCATTTCAAACGGACAATTTAGCAATATCATCATCTTTTATCTTATCTTTCCTCTTTTCTTTTGTAATCTGCCTCCCTCCTTTAAACTATCTATTTTGCTGGATGATTTGAGAATGCTGTAATGAACTGAGGCTAATAAGTAATGGTTAATTAAAATATATGTTATCAGATCTTTTACTTACCCAAAAAAAATCATGACGAATTTTTTTTTGTTTTTTTGTTTTCAGTTCAAGTAAAAGACCTTTTGATTTCGAGACCTTCCTCTCCGTTTTCTCTTCTGAACAATCCAGTTCATCTTTTCCTCATATCAAGATACGATGATTTTGTCTAACACCATACGGCTACAGTACAAAATCTTTCTCAGCATTTGATGTTCCATATAGAAAAACCAACCTTAAAATTTGCTGATACTGATTGAATTTACATGCATGTATAATAACTAGTCGTAGTAGTGCAATTTAACGCGGGCATAGGCAACAAATTCCAAAGGATGCTTGTCCGAGGCTGTACAATTCGAGTCTCTCGCACTACCATTTCCATCTGGAGAATTACTGCGTACTGCCCCGTCCTAGCGTGGATTGGTGAGTTGCGTGGCAGAAATTAGAGGGGACTTTGACCGGGTGTACAAAAATATCAATAGCGGAGCATACAGGCACTTTAACTTGGAAAGTTGGGAGTAACGCCTGAGTTGACTTCTTACGCGCTACTCTTCCGTACAGTTACGCGCCTCTCTTCTTTGTGGCCCCACGCCCCCCCTTCCACCCTTCTTTCATTGCTCCTCTTTAACAGCAACTGACAGTTTGATTCTGACGCGACGGAAACCAATCGTCGTTCTCCACCACCTCCTCGGCTCCTTCCTTCTACTTCTGTACTTCTGGTCTATGGTCTATGTATTTGTGTGCTTGCACGTACAAGCGTGACTGCCTGACGTACGACATATATTGTATGGTAGAAAGCAAAGTTCAGGAATCAGACGGAACCTTAGAGGACTTTAGGAAGACTTTCGATTTCTGATATTTCAGGATCTCCCTGCTGCTTCTTTTGGATTTTAACCTCCTGTCGCAGCATTTGGGCCCCAAGTTCTTTCCTTTGCTCTTTTTCTCAGCTTCTCAGGTACTTGTCTCATCTGGGCTTCATTTACTCTTTTTTTTTTTTTAAACTTTGGTAGTGAATCCAGGGGGTTTCTTTCTGTATGCCTTAGTTGGAATTCATCTAGATTTTACTTGATGCTTGCCAGTAACAACTGCTACTACCGAGTAGCAATGATTCTGGGGTATAGGTGGTAATATGGGTACGATCAATGTATAGGTGCCTGATTTTTCAACTTTTGTTAGTTGATCGTTCGCCTTTATTTTGGCGAGAACACTTGAATTCTAACTTATTCTTGAATTGCAACTATTTTCGGGGATCGCGGGTTGGTGTTTCTCCTATTAAAGGGACCCCATTACATTTCTGTTTCTATGGCATAATCTCTATAGAGGTGGATTTAGTAGAAACCTGGTCTTTTAATACCATGGAAAATGTTTTGGGGCACCATTTTATTAGCAGAAGTTCTCCCATATAAATATGCTGAAAAGCTGCGGCTGTCCATCTCAGACTTGATCGTTTTGTTATCTTTGGATTTTCTGTGGCTATACGTTATGATCCTTCAGCATTTTGACACCTTTCCATACTAAGGATCATGCAAAATCAAACTAACCAATGGTTAATTTTATCTGGATTAACCAACCAGCCAATGGTTGTTACTGTGTGATTTCTTTGCAGCATAAAATTTCCTGGCTAGTGTTTATAAAACATTACTTGCATCTAAATGTTTACTGTCTAAGAACAGTTTAAAACAAGTATTCTTATGTCCATAAGCATAAGAGAGTATACAAGAGAGGTTTATGCAATACATTGTTAGTTTGCTAACCTTCCAAGAATAGCTTTCTGATAACAATGTGGCCTTTGCGTGATTTCCTGTATTCTGATTTGACTGGCTTTGAATACAGTTTCTTCTGGAGCAGCTATATTTTACAGAGAAGGCAGATAATTGGCCAATCATACAGTCATGACTTGCTTCTCCTTTTTATTTGGTAGAAAGTTGGATTCAGCAACACAACGCTCAGTTGAGCTAGATGATGGTAAACAAAGTACTCTTATTCAGATAAACTGTCCGGAACTTTCAGACAGATTGCGTTCTTCCATCCTCCACCTAGAAACTCTTTTCTAGTAGCCGTGCCTGCATAAACTAGCAATGCCACACAACACCTTTATTTATGTTTCTTGCTTGTCCATTTATGAATGAACCTAATAAGAGTGGACTCATGAACAGAGCTCTCTGGCATCCAGAACGTCACTCTTTACACGTACAAGGCGTTGAGAATTGCCACTGATGATTTTAGTCCAACCAATAAAATAGGGGAGGGTGGATTTGGTTTTGTCTACAAGGTAGAGAAACTCCTTTTGATGCGAATATATGTATGTACTTTTCCTTTTCGAGCCCGTGTCACAGTTTTACTGATATATCCTCACTTTGTAGGGAAAGCTCAGAAGCGGCCAGATGGCTGCCATAAAGGTTCTTTCTACTGAATCAAGGCAAGGAGTACGTGAGTTCTTGACTGAAATTCAAGTGATTTCGGAAATACAGCACGAAAATCTAGTGAAACTTTACGGTTGTTGTGTGGAAGGCAATCACAGAATTTTGGTGTACAACTACCTAGAGAAGAATAGTCTTGCAAAAACACTTCTTGGTAATGCTACTTTTCTGTTTCTGACCTTCATGATCTTGTGCTCGCAATAGGAACAATTAATTCCCATCTGTTGTCTTATAAAAAGCAATTTTAACAAGGCTTATCCTTTTTGAAATGTTCTTGTTTTACGGAGTACAAGTTTATTTCTGGCCAACCATTCATGAGTCGAAGAAAAGAGCTTCTTTCCCCATCTCTCACCTATTAACAGCATGCTCCAATATGCTTGCGATGATATATCCTCATTCGGTACCAAAAGGACCCGTAATTTGATTGCGATCAAGTCTGTTTTCTATTTAAAAATAGTTTTTCATTCTTGGGCAGCAAAATGAAGTTTACTTAAAGCCAAAGGACAAATTTAGAGATTTCAAATTCTTCAAAACTTTTGAACACGTACATCTAAAGCATGGAGCACTGAATTATTGAAACTTTGAGCAATGAATATCTTACACCAGTAATTACAAATTGTTTTCTTCAGTCTAATTTTCTCTGAATCATGATTGGATCTAAAGGTCTTGAATGTTCGTTTCCAGATGGAGATTACAATAACATCCAGTTTACTTGGCGAATAAGGACAAAAATTTGCATTGGAGTTGCTAGAGGACTTGCCTACCTTCATGAGGAAGTGAGACCTCATATCGTCCACCGGGATATCAAAGCAAGCAATATACTTCTAGACAAGGATCTAACACCTAAAATTTCAGATTTTGGTCTTGCAAAACTCATCCCTCCCAACATGACTCATGTGAGTACACGAGTAGCAGGGACCATGTAAGTTTTGAAACAATCTCTTCATCCTTGTACTCCTATGAAGGTTCTCTTTTTGAGGATGTCAATCCTGTTTTAACTCTTATGCATGAACATCTAGTTTTGTGGGGATTTGCTCCCCCTCTAAACCTCTAAGTGGATAAAGATGCCTAGATTTTTGGGTTTTGATTAGTTATCCTAGTTTAAACCATAAGACTTTGAATGTTATTATCCTTCTTAGTGAAATCAGGAACCATTTTTTGTGACACCGAGTTATTAATGTCAGCTATATTGTCGTTGCAGTGGTTATTTGGCGCCTGAATATGCAATAAGAGGCCAGTTGACACGTAGAGCAGACATTTACAGCTTTGGAGTTCTGTTAATCGAAATAGTTAGTGGAAGATGCAACACCAACACAAGACTTCCTATTGAAGAACAGTATCTTCTTGAAAGGGTATGGTTGTTGAGTCACTTCACCTTTAGGTGATCTTTTACACTTTCATAATTGCCATATATGTTAAAGTTATGAGCAAATAGCATCAGCAATGGGTTGCTAATGCTTGATTCTCAATTTCATTGATTCCTATTTTTGCAAGTTTTTGAGCATTCTTAGAAGTGAAAACAATCTGATAGGAGCATAAAATCTGCCCATGGACAAGTTTATAGTTAGCTATTTTAAATTGTCAATCAACCTTAATTCCTTTTCTTTTTCTTTTTCCCATGGAGAAACATCATTAATATTTCTTTAAGCAGAGGAAACATAGGGAGATTGGATTTATAGTTAACAGTGTATGTCTGTGATTGAAGCCAGCTGAAGAGAAAGGATATATATTGGCAAGAAAATTTGTAGGGTCGCTTTATTAATGCTGTATTTTGTTCCTTGCGATTGAGGGAACAGAATTGGAGTTGAGTGGCCCAGATCCAAATCCCTTGTGTGGTTTTGAGTTAAACAAGTAGAATCAGAACTCTTTTGCAAGTTTGTAGGGCACCTTAAACTCTCAACAATTTGTTGCAATCCGAACCCTGTATTTGTGTAATTCAGTCGAGTCATATTTTTCCAAAACCAGTAAGTTCAGTGCTGCAGAAGTAGAAGCCTCCATTTACAGGGTTATTTAGTATTTTCATGTCCAATTTGAGTTCAAGCTGTTTCTCAAGCTCAACGTTGGATCTGCTTTGCAGACCTGGAAACTATATGAAAGAAGGGAACTAGTTGGGCTCGTAGATACAGCACTAAACGGGAATTTTGATGCCGAACAAGCATGCAGATTCCTGAAGATTGGGCTTCTGTGCACTCAGGATGATCCGAAGCTTCGACCATCCATGTCCAGTGTTGTCAAGATGCTAACAGGTAAAGACGTTGATGAGCATAAGATCACGAAACCAGGCTTAATCTCCGACTTCATGGACCTCAAGGTCAGAAGCAACGCCCCTAAAGCTAAGCCTGGAAGTGATCATACCCCCGGCAATTATGCATCCTCTGGCTCCGACAATCTGGATACCACAAGATTAACTTCAGCAGCTTCTTCTCAAGCTACCATGACGTTTACTTTTCCATGCACCCAAAGCATGTAAGCTTAGGGTAACCAAATTGAAGAGGTCGTTGCATTTTCTTTATTCTTTTACCATATTGGGTGAGTGAATTT